GAGTGGACTTCCTGTTCTAGGTTTGGGAACAGCTGTGCAAAGGGCCTGAGGTGGGAGCATGTGACAGGGTGAACTGAGCCTGTGGCTGGAGCAGATGCTCTGAAATCACAGTAGCACTTTGGACTGTTCTCTGGGCGAAGCGGGGGCCAGCCTGAGGGGAGCATGCCGAGGTTCCACTTGGAGACGTGGACTTGTGCCCAGAGAGGTAAGGCAGGGATACAGAGCCCCACAGTGTGGCCTCACCAGCAGCCACCAGTCTTTTGGGCTGCTCTCCTTGCACACTGAACCCCCAATGCCAGACAAGGCCTTGCCTCCAATCCAGCTAGAGTCCGAGAGTGGCTGGCTCCAGGCTCCCTGGTCCTACAAGAGACAGGGCAGCAGAAGAGAAGGGCCAGGGGAGTCTGCACACTTCCCCACAGGACCCCTAAGCAGAGATCTGCAGTAGGAGTCTCCGAGCCACGCAGGAGGGGGGCAGCTCCAGATGGGAGAGACACTGCGCCAGGGGCCCAACCCAAGGAGGCCAAGAACCCCTGCTAGCAGCTTGCGAATACCACCCACAGGCAGATGCCGTCAGGCGTGGAGACCTCTGGTGGCAGGGTGCTGTACCTCCTTCTTAGGATGCCAGACGAGGGCGATTGCCCTACCTGCACCCCGTGGCCCCCTCTCCAGCCTCAGCACCCTGTGCCAGGCTCCTGTTAGCTCAGGTCCCTGAGGGGGGCTCCTATTATTAGCTCCTCCAGCCCATGGGTCCCCTTCCAGCAGACGGCGAGGGCAGCAGGCACCCATCTCTCACAGTTCCAGACCAGCCTGACCGTGGAAGCATGAGTCGGGGAAGAGCTGCCAGAGCACAGGTCGGCACATACCCTGGGCAGAGGCATGCCACCCTCAGCCTCTGCCTGCTGCTGTCCCCCACCCTACTCCCCGCCCTAGGCTGGGGGGTGCCGCCACCTCAGGGCAGCGGCCAAGAGGGAGAGCCTCCCAGGTTCTCACCTGTGCAGGCCCTTCCTTCTCTCTGGGCTCAGCAGGGGGCTGCGGGGACCCATGCTGGAAAGAGATGCCTGAGTGACTGGCAGGGGTGGGTCACTGTCCTGCCGCTTCACTCCCTGGCTCGCTTGGTCACTATTCGCAGGGCCTCCTGAACCTACCTCGCCAGCCTGAGGTGGGGCAGCAAACACTGGGCCTGGGCAGCGCTGCACTTGGGGCCTGGGCCCTTTGCGGGGTGGGGTGGGGGCGCAGGCTCACACAGCATGCCCATGTGGGAGGACATTTCACCAAGGCTGTGCCCCTCTCCATCTATCCACTGGCCCTTCCCCAGGACGGGGACTGCCCAAGAAGCGGTGAGGCAATACCGGAACAGGAAAGAAAAAAACATCCTGGATGGGGGGGGGGGGGGGGGGGAGGGCTGACCCAGGAAATGAGTAGGTTTTTCACAAAACCCAAAGACTTGGGCAAATCCAGGAGAGGGAAGCAGAAGCAGAGGCAGGGGGTGTCTGTAGACACAAGTCCACCAGGTGGACACATACCCGGCCATTTCATGCATGGAGCGGGCCAGTCTCGCCTCCCAGCCTCGGTTTTCGGAAGGACCCCACAGACTATGTCATCAGGCATTGCACAAATTCCTGGCTTGGCCATACATGTTCAGACACATTTTCTTGAGTCTCACGCCTGTTCTGTGGCAGTGACCTTGGTGACTTGTGAGTTGGTTGTTCAAAATCACAAGAACCCTCTGGGGCGCCGGGGTGGCTCAGTCGTTGAGTGTCTGCCTTCGGCTCAGGTCGTGGTCCCAGGGTCCTGGGGTCGAGCCCCGCATCGGGCTCCCTGCTCGGCGGGGAGTCTGCTTCTCCCTCTCCCGCTCCCCCTGCTTCTGTTTCCTCTCTCTGGCGCGAGCCAAGCTACTTGACAAAGTCCAAGTATGGGGGATAATCCTGAAAATCAGGAGACTCCGCAGCTGGCTCCTGTTACTTCCTTTCATTTTATTTGCGGCAATCTTTATAATCATGGGATTTTTTCTAGGGTTTCATGATAAAATGATTTATAAATTTAGTTATGCCTACGCAAGCAATCATAATGAAACTGATTCCAAAAAGGCTGACGATGGGCCAAGAAGTAAAATTACCCAATGTCCTCCGATCTGTAATTCATCTAACATGAGCAGCGCGGAGTTCTTTGACAAGCTCCGTTTAAGGGAGCTGTTGGATCCAGGCCCAGTGAAGATTCCTATTGATGAGATCCCACAGGCACCTCAGAAGCACCAGGGTTCTTAAGAGAAGGGCATCTCATTGTCGTTCCCACAGTACAGGGACCTCCCTATGTTGCATACAAATAGGAGGCCACCTCTGGTACGCCCGCCCCTCGAGGCAAGCCCTGGGGTAGGATTAACTTCCTTACCCCTACTCCTCCCATTCCTTATACTGGAGTTGAGGACACGAATAAATGGTACGAGATTAAGGGAAAAAGGGTGCGGGCATCATCTGACGGCCTCTGGGAAAGGATTAAGAGGAGTAATCCTCCGTGTTATCTATGGAGCAAGGACAAGAGACGAAAACATATAGAAATGGAGTAAGTACTTTGATAAGATAGGGTGCACACATTGTAAGCTGCCTTTGGAGAAAGAATAAACTTTAGATAACCTTGATAGGTCCCGCTTTGTCTCGCGCACGGTCACGCTGTTTTTTAAATCTGAAATGATTGCGATAAAATGTAAAAAATAAAATCACCTGTTATGAAAGAATGGAAAAACAAGGAAACATTCCAATGAATAAATAAAGTCCCTCCGAGGCTATCGGGGGAGATGCTTACAACCTGATCCTGTGTCTGTGTCTCCTTATTCGCCGACGCCGTCCTTTCCTTCGAGGACCCCTTTCCTGCTGGAGCTGGACTCCGGGCATCTCTCACTGTGTCTCTCTCTGTCAAATAAATAAATAAAATCTTAAAAAAAAAAAAAAATCACAAGAGCCCTCTGAATCAAAGGGTCCTGTCTTGAAAGGGGCAGAGCCCACTTATGCTTTCACCCACAAATACTTGCTAAGCGCCCACCACGAGCCAGAAGTGGTCTGGGTGCTGGGCACTGTCCTCGAGGGCTGACCTGTTGGACGGAATCAACAAGCAAGTAGCCCATACCAAAACTGACAGGCGCTGCCAAGATAAAATGTATGCCTCTTATGGGGACCAAAATTCATCCAAATCCCTTCCGGGCAGGTGAGCAAGAAGCTCCACTTGCCAAAGGAGCTTCACACTTCCCCCTTCCAGGCAAAGCCCATTGGTATCTTAGACTAAGATACCAATGAGGTGGTGCCTGCAGAAAGGATGAGGAAGCCCCACCCAGAAGCCCACCCTGCCTTCCAAAGGTAAGATCCAGAAAGGGTAACCAAGAGCTGCGGCCTACTGCATGTCCCCGGGGACAGCAGGGCCATCACCCCTAGAAGATATCACCGCTCCTTGGCTGGGGACCTCTTGGGACATGTGCAGAGCCCCACCTTCAGCCTCCAAGGAGAGAGCCCCCAAAGCCTTCCCAAGTTGATCCATCCCACATCACTGGGATGTTACAAAGAACCACTGGGACGTCTGACCCTGATCCCCAAACTGTGAAGACACACACACACACTTCCGTTCATACTCACACACACCAACCACACACTCACTCCCCTGCACACTCCCACGGCACCTCCTGTATCCCTAGGCCTTTCTCACGTGACTGGTCCATTACAGTGGCCCGTCTTCCCATGCAGCTCCCTCCTGGCCACGCTGCCGTTCTGCCTCGGCTCCCTCCCCCTTGCCTGGCCTCCCCAGCTGTGATAGTTAAGAAGCCTCTCCCCCCTCCCCCCCTCCCCCGCGCCCTCCACCACCCTCACCCACAGGTGCCACCGGAAAGCCTGAGAGAAAAGGTCAGGTGCCACAGCTCCTCAGAGGAAGCGGGCTGTGAACTGTGAAGTGCATTTCCAAAACAAGCAGGTGGCTGAGACTCAGCAAACTGCGCCAAAGTCTCTGCAGAAGGAGGGGAAACCACCAAATGAGAGGGGGATGGAAGGGCCAGGCAGCCCGGCCTGCCGGCAAGCCCATCACCTCCCGCTCTCCCGGCTGCAATTGGTCTCCCATGCTGGCCAATGAGAAGCAGGATGCAGGGGCGTGGAGTCCTGCCGGGCCGCCTTCCCTGCCCAGAGTGGATGGTGCGGGTCCAGCCAGGGAAGACCTATTGAGAGAACGCAGGAAAGCCTTTGCTGTCAGGCTAAGGATGCTGGTTTTATCCTAGCGGCCTTCTAGGCTCTGCGCTGGGAGGGTCCCATCAGGCCGGCTTTGTGAAAGGATCTTCTAGCAGCAGAGTGAGCTGGAGGCCTGGGAGCATCCTGGCTGAGTGTCTTGGCCCAGGTGGGGGCAGCCCCATAGGAGGCAACCCCTGCGCCCAGAGCAAAGAGGGATCCAGAACCAGCAAAGATGGACGTCCCGCTGGAGATCCCTGTGGCCCACAACCACCGCCCCTGCGACCTTCCTCCCCCACCCACGGGAGGGCTAAGGCCTCAGCCCCGAGGCGAGGCCAGGAGCCTAGGACCACAGGGGACCCCGGGGCAGAGGGGACGGCGAGCTAGAGGCAAGCTCCCGGCATCCTCCCCGCCCCCAACCGGCCCCGGCCCCGGGGTCTGAAACGCTTCCACGGCACTCGGCCGAAGGGACGCGAGCCCTCCCTGAGTGCGGCCGGCTACCGGTGGGCCCCCGTCCCCGCCCCCACACGCTCGCCACACGTCGCCCGGCTGCCCCGCGATGACGCGCGCCCCGCGTGGGGACCAGAAGGACCGGCCGGACGGGCCAGCGACACCTCCCTGGGGCTGGGCTTGGGGCCCGGGGTGGAGGCCTGCCAGCCCCACCCGCTCGGGGAACTCGGAGTCTGCCCCCGCCCCCAGGAACGCCAACCCCGCGCCCCCCCGCGGGAGCCCCGACTCCGCCCCTGCTTCCTCCCCCGCCCGCGGGAGCGCCGACTCCGCCCCGCCCGCCCCTGCGCCCCGAGCTCGCCCCTGCTCCCCTTGCCAGCACGAGCGCCGACTCCGCCTGCTGTCCCCCGCCCGCCGCGGCTGCCGGCTGCCGGGAGTCCCGGGCTGTCGTGCGCTTGGGCTCCAGACTTGGGTAGTTCAGCGAGGCCGTGGACCTGCGTCTGCCCCGCGTGAGTCGGCGGGGCCCGGACCGGGGCTGGGGGAGCCGAGACGACCCCCTTGACACCGGGCAGGACGGAGGGGAGGGGCGAGCAGGGTGCCGGGAGAGACGCGGGAGGAACTGGAGGAGGCTGGGAGTCCGGGCTTACGGGTGGGCTTGGCGCTTGGGGGGGCTGAGCCTCCACTCCCATCCCCCAGCCCTCCCAGCCCTTCCGAATATTTCCCGAGATCGGGGCTGGAGCCGGCGCCGACCAACACCAGGCGCCCTCTCTGGCTGGGTGACCCAGAGCCGCGCAGGCTTGGGGCCCATCACCCGACTCTAGGTTCCCCCTCACCTCTCCCGTGGGGACTGGTGAGGGGCATCGTTGCTGACTTAAGAAGGGGCCTGGGATCTTGGCGGGGCAGCAGGATGGGAAGAATTGAGTGCCCTTCCTGGTGGACCACCCTGGGGACTGGAGCCTACTCTGGGAAGGGGTGAAAGCTCCTTGTTTGCCAAAGATTATGCAAGCGTATGAGGTGCCTAGGAGCCTCCACCCCCAGCGCCCCCCACTCCCCACCCCCCCTGCTGAGCCATCTGGCTCCTTCCGACTTTGGGGACAAGGACTAGCTCCTACCTCTGTAGTGGCCCCCAGTCACTGGATGCCTGGCCCTGTCAGAAATCAGCCATGTGAGCCTGGGGCAGGGAGGGGGGGGGGGAGTGGGCAGTCTGGATCCCAGATGGCATTGTCCCCGAGGCCCACTGGTTCCCCTCAGTGCCCCCTTGGCCTGACCCTGCTCATGTCCATCCACTCCAGCCAGTGCCCCGACTCAGCCCAGTGGGGCCTGTTTGGTTGGGTGCCTGGCAGGGGACAGTGGGGACACAGGCTGTGACCAGTGGCTGTGCATTCCAGAGCTTCCTTGAGAACAGCTCAGTTTCTCCAGGCCCAAACCTCACTTTACAGAAGAGGAAACTGAGGCTCCTTTCTCCCTGAACTACCTGGATCTGGAGCTGGGCTTGGCACTACTCTTGGGCATCTGCAGCTCCTGTCCCCGACCCCAGGATGTCATCCCAGGCCCAGAACTGGGCCAGGAAAGCCTGTTGTCTCCCTGGCACTCTTCTTCCCAGTGCCTGGGACCTGCTCTCCAGGCCCAGAATGCCCTTCCCCCACCCACGGCATCCCCAGCTGAAGAAGGCACCAGACTGCTCCTCCCACACCATGCCTCCTGCCCAACAGGGAACCAGAACCCCAGCTGCTCCCCTCCCAGTGCTTTCTCCACCCACTGCCACTGGTCTCTGCCCAGGAGAGGGTCCTGGTGGAGAGCACCAGGCACCATAGACTCCTATCTACCTAGCTGAGACTCACTGAACCTCTTTTTCAGGCACAAGATGGGGGAATAGCAGATATTTATAGGTTCCCTGTCGTCACCTTTGAATAACATAGGGAGAAACATAGGAAACTGCTGGAGGTGGGCGCTCGGCCCCCAGCCCAGCCCAGCCCGAGTCCCTCACGTCAGGAACGGAGCTGGCTCATGGACAGTCCAGGGTGCAGGCCAGCTAATATTCCTGACCACTCTGCCCCCAGCCCCAGCACCACCAGCAGGGGCCATTCTCTTGGCCTTCCTTTCTGTGTGATCCTGAGATCTTTCATGAGCTCCGTCATCTGGCCCCAGCAGCAGTCACAGGCTGGGGGTGGGGTCTCAACGAGGAGTGGGCGCACTGAGGGGTAGGCTGGAATGGGGCGGGAATGGGGAAGACCCTCTGTGTGCTGGCTGTGCTTCTGCCAGAGATAGGCGCCCCCTCCCGCCTGCCCCGCCATCTATCAAAGCGGGGCAGCGCAGCTCCCAGGGCCTGAGGCTCTGGTCCATCCTCCCAGTGGGCAGCCCGGTCCCCCACCGAGTTGTTCTCTAAGCAGGACCAGTATCTTTGGCTTTGTGAGGCCCCAGACCGGACACCAGTCTCTCCAGAATGAAGGTCTTCCTGCCCATGCTGCTGGCTGCCCTGCTGGGTGTGGAGCAAGGTGAGATGCCCCTTGGGGCCCCGGGCCGTCGGCTGAGCTGTGCTTTCCTCCTGGACTCCCCCAAGCGCTGCCCGGGGGCTCTTCAGGCCTGTTCCTGCCTGGCCTGCTGTGGCCGGCCGAACGGTCCTCTCCCCCAGCAAAGCGGGTCCCTGCTCCTTGCTGCTCCCCTGGAGGCCTGAGTTCTGACCCTGACACACTTACCACACTGTGCTTTGGGACGTCCCTGGAGCTCCTCTGGGGCCAGGGTCTGGAGTGTGATGATTGCCCGATTAACCTCGGCAAATGATTGGGAGGTGGTTGGGTGTTGGCTCAGGACTGGCAGGGGGCACCACTGGAGGCCATCCCAGGGCCCGAGACAGGTGTCACCTGCAGCGTCTCCCCTTCTTCTGCAGCCCATTCCCTGGTGTGCTTCTCGTGCACGAACCAGAACAGTAACTTCTACTGCCTGAAGCCGACTGTCTGCGCGGACTCGGACAGCTACTGCGTCACAGTGTCCGCCTCTGCCGGCCTCGGTGAGTGCTGGCCGCCACCCCTCCCCACGCGGCTGCCCCCCCCGCCCCCACCCTCACCGCCTTGCTGTCCTGTGCAGGGAAACTGGTGGACTTCGGCCACACCCTGAACAAGGGCTGCTCCCCGATCTGCCCCAGCCCCAGCATCAACCTGGGCGTGGCGTCCGTCGGCACCTATTGCTGCCAGAGCTTCCTATGCAACCTCAGCACGGCCGGCCGGGGGCTGCAAGCCAGCACCACAGTGCTGGGCCTCGGGCTCCTGCTCAGCCTGCTGTCCACCCTGCAGCGGCTCGGACCCTGACCGCTGGGGCCCAGCAGCTGGCCCAGACTCCCCCAGCTCAGGAAGGAAGGCCCGCCCCCCCGCCAACCCCCGAAACGACATGGAAGCCCCTTGCTCCATCCCAGTGCTCCCCGCTGTCAGTGCCCACGGTCAGGCCTGCCCCCTGCGCCCCCATCTCCCCTCCGAGGCGGCCCCTGACCTCACTTCTCAGGCGGGGATGTGACCTCCTCAGGGAACCTGGGAAGGGCTGAGGGCCAGAGGCCCAGGGTCCTGGAGTCAGAACTGAGTCCTGGGGACACCCTGGGAGGGGCACGGGCACCCCAGGCTCTGCTCCGTCTGTCCCCAGGTGGGGTGGGAGATGTGCTTTGTGCTGCTGCGTCCCAGGGGGACCAGCGTGCTGTTGTCAGAGGTGATCGCATCCCCTCAGCTGTGTGGACGGGGGTGCACCCCCATGCATGCGTGGAGTGTGCGGCCCTGTCAGAGCCGGCGCATGGTGGGGGGTGGAGACCGGAGTCCAACCTTGGCAGCGGCTGAGCCACTTGAGCCCCAACAACAAAGCTGCTTCTCTCTGGCCTTTCTGCATCCCACATTCACCCACTTTAACGGTGGCCTTTTGGAAGAAGACGGGCTTCCAGTGCATCTGGGTTTAGGCTGCTGGACCCAGGAATCAGCCCCCCCCCCGAGCTGCGGTCCCCCCCACCCCCACATTGGAGTCGGCCTGCTGCTTTGGTGCCTCAAATAAACACATGTTCTCCACCTTTCACGAACTGGCTGTGGCTGCATGTTTGGGAGTCCCCCTCCCAGCAGGGGCCCAACGTGGGGGGTCCCCCTGTGGTACAGCCCCGCCCTGAGGCCCACATCGGGGAGAGGGCTCCCCCGAGTCCACAGCTCGCTGCCCTCAAGGCCTAGAAGGGGGCCTCCCTAACCTGCATCCTGCACTCTTTCCCGTGCCAGGCCAGGCCATGTGGGAAGTTCATCCTCAGGCAGGACCTGGCAGGACGGGAAGCAGGGAGGGCGGCCAGTCTGATTCTGGGAGGGAGGCAGTACCCTCCAGAGGGAGGAATGGGTTTGGACAAGGAGAAGGCGAGGAGCCTGCAGGAGCATGCATGCGGGATGGGCACCAGCGCCTGGCTCTCTGGGACTTGAGAATGGGATGCTGGGGGCCGTCGGGCCGAGGTGGGCACAGGAAGACCTGGTTGGGCAGGCAGAGGCCCGGTGAGCAGATGAGTGAGACCCCTGCCCTGAGCCCACTTCTGCTCTGCAAGCCACGTTGTGTCTGTGGTGATCAGGGAAGCCATCTGCAGGGGCTGCTACCGGGGAAGGCTCTGTGTTCGCAGCCCAGGGCTTCTTTGATCCCACTGGGGGCACGGTGGAGGCTGCGGCACGTCGGGGAACTCTGGGAAGGTGGAACAGGTCGGCGTCCACTCGATGCTGGCAGGCTGGGTCTGAGGACCCAGAGGGGGCCCCGAAGGACCGGCCGAGAGGGTCCATGGCTTCATGCAGGCTAGAAATGAGACGGGAGCCAGGAGGAAGTGAGAGCAGAGTTTACTGACGAGCGCAAGGGATAGAGTATAGTGGATGGAGCATCTGGGAGACTCCCCGTCCCTTCGGGTTAGGAGTTCCTAATAGAAAGGGGTCCGGGCTACTGTTCCTTCAGGAATCCAGGGTAGAGTCCCATCAAAGGCGAGTGTCGGGTGAAGAGTGGGTGTTAGTCCGAGATTCACTGAGGACGGGGGTGTTGACGCCAGCATCGGCCCAGGTTTGTTGGAGGCTCGTGTCCTGGAACGTGTTTGGGATCCCGTTCTACCAGGTGTTTGGGGCCTAGGAAGAACTCAAAACGATGAATTGTCTTGGCTCCCCCTGGAGCAGAAAACAAGCTCTGGTTTACACAGATGCAAGGCAGACTACAGGACATGAATCACTGTGACCAAGCGGAGAAATAGCAAGACGGAGCCTTTGCGAAATGCAGTACCTTCAGCTTCCCTGCCCCACACACGCCCGCACACCCAGGTTGTCCTGGGCTGGCCAGAAGCTCTGGTGTGCCTGTGTCCAGCGACCGCAGAACACTGTCCAGCAGGGTGGGACAGCGGTCAGCGTGGGGCTCAGGATCCTGCCCCGTCTCCAGGGAATCCCTGAGATCAGGCATGGGCACGAAAGCATGGAAATGTCCTCGTCACGGCCACCAAAGGGGGACAGCCAGCCAATACACACAACCAGGTGACAACGCAGTGATCATGCCCAAGGAAGAGACAGCCCCCAAATAAGCTGGGCAGGAGGGATCTGCCCCAGTACGATGGTAAGAGGAAGGAGACCCAGGCCCAACCAGTACCTTGTAGAAGGATCCAGAAGGACATCAGAGCAGCCTGATTGAGATTCAGTGGGCAGTGAGCATGTAATTGGCCTGAATGGGTCAGGCCAACATTAAAAACAAAAGAAGGGGCACCTGGCTGGCTCTGTGGAGTGGGCAACTCTTGATCTTAGAGTTGGAAGTTTGAGCCCCAGTTGGGTGTAGAGATCGCTTAAAAAAGTTTTTTTTTTTTTTTTTTTAAAGAAAAAGAATTCAAGGAGCTAGAAATCAGAATGTCCCCCAGATACACTGGCAGGTGTTGTCACAGACGATTCCCCTCGGGGCTCTGAGTCCCTGGGTAGAATGCATTCACCGTGTTGTTCACTCAACATAGATCAAGCGACCTCACTAGCGTGGCTCAGACTGGCGAGGTGAGACCTGCGGGCCATGGTGGGTTGGGAAAAGGAAGCTGCACAAGTGGACCTGAAACTTGAGAGCTCTGGTCAGGAACTTGGACTTGATGCTGGGGCAGTGGCAGGACACCTGTGGACCCCATGCTCCCTTCCTGCTAGTAGTCTCCTAGGCTTGCATCTCTGGCACCTACTGTTTCCCAGGGGCTGTTCATCTCTTACTACCCTTCCTACAGCTGCACTCAGAGATGGTAATGCTTACCCGTTTTCAGAAGCCCCCCTGAGGCTGGGGGCTTGAAGCCACTTGCCCTACGGGTGGGTGACCCTCCCGGGCTCTGCACTCCCTCTGCTCTGGGTGGGAGGGCCAGGTCCTTAAGGGCTGGGCCCAGAGGCTGGTGGTCCCCCTGGGCCCTGCTGCTCCTCCCTAGGGAGGGGAGAGGCTGGAGGCTGGGCGGGTGCAGGCCGCCTGTGGGAGCAGCGGGAGGTGGGGTGGGGCTGGGTGAGAAGGAGGAGGAGGGGTGGGAGGAGGAGCCCAGAGCTCTAAGTTTCCATTTCCTGCAGCGGGGGTGGGGGTGGGGGGAGGCAGGTAGGGCGGGGAGGGGAGGGGCAGGGCAGGCCGAAGGAGCCCCAGACTCTCGCCCTGCCCTGGCATCCTGCCCAGGCTGCAGTGAGGGGCCAGGCACACTGTGGTCAGGAGCCCAGACTCCCCGGCCTCAAAAAAAAAAAAAAAAATCTTTTTTAAGCGATCTCTACACCCAACTGGGGCTCAAACTTCCAACTCCGTCCAGTGACGGCCCCCCCCATCTCAGTAGCCAAAGTCAGCTCTGTGTTCTGGCCCCGGTTTGCTGGCATCCCCGCAGGGAGGGGGTCTCTCTCTGGGGAGCGAATGGGTGTGTCTGGCCCCTGCCCCCTCGCCTGCCCCTCCCAGGCTGCTGGCTCTGCCGCCTGCACCTGCTAGCCTGGGAGGTGGAGGGATCCTGCCCCAGCTCTGGCCTCCTCCTGTGGTGGCCTCGGCCCGGCCCGGCCCGGGCCAGGCAGGCCCTGCGCTCCCGGACCATGCTATCTGTCCCCATTGCCCTGCTCCTGCTCCCCCATAATTTCCAAGGTTCCCCAGCCTGCTGGCCCGTAGGCCCAGGTGGGATGGAGGAGATCTGATAAGTGGGGAGAAGAACAGAGCTGGAGATGGGGACAAAAAAGACCAAGGGAAGACAATACAGCTCTGGCCAGGACTCGGGCCCGCAGAGACCCCGCCAGTCACCCCACAGCTGGCCCAGGAGTGCTGCTTTGAGGGGTCACGTCAGCAGGCCAGCTGTGAGGCCGTTGCTCTGCTGTGCTCCAGCCTGTGGGGATAGCTCATGGAAAGAGCTTGCCTCACGTCCCCACGGGGGATCTTTCAAACATGCCCTTTCTCCTCCCTTGGAGCCCTTGTCACCTTGTTAGTTTTTTCTGGAGTCCCCTTAGCTGCGTTCACCATGAGGAGGTGAAGTGGGAAGATGGGAGCCTCTAAGGAAAAGGCATAAGAAGTGGATTTGGGGGATGGGGAAAGGCACAGAGAGAAGAGCCTGGCGGGTGTGCGCAAGCTTGGGGGTGGGAGAGGGCAGACAGTGGGGGCATCAGACACTGCCTGACTGCAGGCTGCTCAAGCCCCACACTCACGAGGGCTTCTACGGCTGGGGGAGGGACCATTGGGAGCCCAGCAGAGACTAAGAGAAGATCAAAGTGGGGTATTGATCCCACGGGCCCCCTCCTGCAGGGTCTCCTGGGACAGTCCTATCACTTCTAACTAGCTACAGCAACTGCCCCTCTGGCCGCCTTTCCAGCCTGGACAGGGGATAGCAGGTGTCCCTGCCGTTGGGCCTGCAGGGGGCGCTGCATGGCTCCTGAGTCCTGCGCAGCCCTCTCCAAACAGCGCCTTAGGCCATGCTCTTGCTACCTTCCTGATTTGGATGTGCCACCTGTTCTCTGCTGGGAATTTGGCTGAGTCCGCCTTAGCCTGACACTCACAGTCGGGGAGGGACTCAGTCGGGCACCCCCTTTGTCCCCTCCCCAAGCAGAGGATAAACTGACCCCCCTCTTCCAAGAGTTCTCTGGGGTGTAGAGCAGAGCTGGACCCTGCAAGAGAGTGACATGCAGCCTTCCCCCGCTGGCCTGGGTTCCGGGGGGCCAGAATGAAAGTAGCTGACCCAGGGCTTCGGCTGATGAGGGGAACAGAGGCAGAAGAAAAATTAAATTTCCTTACTACCTACAGCCCATTCACAAGTCCTTGAAACAGGCAGAGTGACCTTCCTCTAGGGGCTCAGCTGCCTGGATGTTGACACTTTGCTAAGGGCAACAAGCAATTCTAGCCCGAACCCCCAGGATCCTGTAAGTCCACCTTAACATGTAAAAATTCCTTTGGAAACTTCCTTTGTCTCTATCCCCCAAGACATGTTGTCAATCACTCCCCCAAGCACATGGCCCAGCGATACACATCTGAAGGGTCTCCTGATGAAGGTTTTATTAGACAGTAATAAATGACCTTCTCCTAACAGTAGCTAGCCCTCTCAGGGTCCTGGAAACCTTGCTTCCAAAACACCTGGGAGGCTTGTGCTGTCCCTAACCACCCCCCCCAACTTGATAGTATATAATGGGCCACTCCTCAGGACCCCAGGGCAGCTTTTCTTTCTGCCCCCAAGTCCTGTCCCATGCTTTCATAAAACCACCTTTTTGCACCAAAAATGTCTCAAAAATTCTTTCCTGAGTGTTTGCTCTGAACCCCAACATTTCCTACATCATTTGGTGCCCAACATGGGGCATTTGTCTTTTCATCTGGACTCTCACCGTTGGTGCAGACTAGATGAATGCTTTCTTTTCTCTTCCTTTACTCTCATTTCGGGGGCTTTGAAAGGAGTATGGTCTTTTCTTTCTTTTTTTTTTTTCTTTAATAAATCTTTTTTTTAAAGATTTTATTTATGTATTTGACAGAGAGTGGGAGAGAGCTGGAGAGAAAGCATAAGCAGGGGGAGGAGCAGAGGGAGAGGGAGAAGCAGGCTCCCCACTGAGCCAGGAGCCTAATGTGGGACTGGA